GAGCACCGCTGGGGTGCGGCCCGCCTCCCAGAGCCACCGCAGGCTTTCACCCCAAATGCCCGGCATTTAAAGAAATAGATAAGTCACGCCAGGACACAAGAACCAAAAATGTCCCCCCGGGAAACAGAAATGGACTCATCAGGTGGCCCCGATGTTGGAGTTAGATCTTAGTGACAGTGACGGCTGGAAGGGAGAAAGTCAACGACAAGGAGAAGTGGGATCCGCTGGGTGTGTGTTTTAAAAATATGTCTTTGCCCGGCCGGGCTGGCTCAGCGGCTGAGCCTCAACCTAGGACCAGGCGATGGGGGTTCGATTCCCGGTCGGGGCACAGGCCCAGGGTGCGGGCTCGATGCCCAGTCCGGGCGTGCAGGAGGCAGCGATCAGTGACTCTCTCATCACTGATGTTTCTCTCTCCCTCTCCTTTCCTCTCTCTGAAATCAATAAAGATTTAAAATATATGTGTATATATGTCTTTCATTGATTTCAGAGGGAGGGAGACATCAGTGGCGAGAGGGAGAATTGGCACCAACCTTGCTCAGACAGCCAGGCAGGGTCTCTCCCCAGCTGGCTCTCGGGGGCCCAGCAGAACCGGGGTGCCAACCCTCAGGAGACGACAGACAGGGGCAACCCCCACAGGCGTTAAAGCCCCAAACAAGATCGGAGCAGGTCAACGTCAGTGATCTATGAAAAAGAGAGCACCTCCCACCAAGTTAGTTTCCTTCCAGGAAACGGAGGTCGGCTGAACTTTTCAACCAGCCAGCGTCACCCGTTATAATCATAACATAAGAGGGAAACGGGAAATCTCAATCGGTGGAGAAGCATCACCTGATAAAAGTTCAACACGCGTTGGTGATAAAAGTCAGGGAGCTGAGCACACAGGTGCAAAGTGAGGACCGGTCCACAAAGATACCCTCACTCCTGACACCCACTGCAAGCGGCGGGGTCACCGAGACCGCTGCCAGCTTCAGCGATTCACCAGAAGGACTCGCAGAACTTGAGGAAATGGATAGGCACACGGTTGTGGTTCATTACCGTGAAAGTAAAGAGATTAAAGTCGGCGTGTGGAGCAGCATCGGGGAGGGTTCCAAGCACGCGGGGCTTCCACACTGGATGGCCCATGGCCCCCACCCTAAACCACATCTTAAACTATGTGGTGTGGCCCCTGTCCCCTGGCAAACAGGCACGACACCCCAAGGGTTTCGAGATCACCTCTCAGGACCCCAAGGGCAAGGACCAGACCTGTCCTTGGGCAGGGATCACTTCTTTTGTGGTTGTGGTGGCTGCTGTTAACCCTCACCTGAGGATTTTCTCCACTGAATTTTAGAGAGAGTGGAAGGGAGGGAGGGAGGTGGGGGGCAGAGAGAGAGGCACAGATGTGAGAGAGACGCGTCAATTGGTTGCCTCCCACACTCACCCCCACTGGGCCAAGGATGAACCTACAACCCAGGTTCATGCCCTTGACCGGGAACCGAGCCTGAGACGCTTTGGTCCGAGGACTGACGCTCTAACCACTGAGCCACACGGGTCAGGGCAGGGATCACTACTGCACAACAAGGGAACTCCCTTCAGTTGAATAAAGTGTATTTACAAAAAAACTTGTAGGAAATAGTAGAATGTGGGGGTGAAAAGAGGGCCACATACCAAATATGACAGCTCAGGGGGAGGTCAGCGTGGGCGGGTCACACCAACCTGGAGACCAAGGTAACCGCACAGGAGGGTCTGAACATGAAAATTCCTAACCGCAAGCTGGTCATGGCAGGTAATCCTGTCCTAGGCCTGTAGCTCCCTTGACAAAGGTCAGTCTTTACCTTAAGTGAAACTGCCTGTTGTCTTTTTGCGTCTAAGATGACATTTCTTTGAAATGTCAGAGCATCTCGTTTTCCAGACCCTCAGGGCACAACCTCCCCCACCAGAGCAGAGGCCACAGAACCCTCCTGTTATTTTGTTCCCAAATACCTCCTCCCTGTGCTGAAAATGTTAACTCCCCTGCACCCACCAATAGAAAAGAAGTGCCTCTCCGTTTTACTTGTGATCCAGTCCCAGAGATTTCCCCGATCTGCTTTCTCCCGCCTCCCTAATCTACCACCGATGGATCCATGTGACCCCCCATTGTGCCTCATTTGATTCTAATGTATAAAATAAGCTGCAAAACTGCCGTTGTCCCGAACATTTTCTCAGTCCATTGAGATTTTACTTCCTAGCCATTGTCATCACTTTGGCTCAAATAAACTCATAAAAATCCTCCGCAGGTCTGGACGTCTCTTACGTGGACCGGCGCACAGTGAAACAGCACAATCGTGAGGACGCCATCCTGCGGCCTGCGACCAGGAATGACAGCAAGGTGACCGCCCCACTGCTCCCTCCCAACGGTGTGCCGGAGGGCCTGGCCGAGGCCAGCAGGCAAGAAAAAGACGCAGCAGGCATGGGACTTGGAAAGAACGAAAACCATTCTTCCCAGAGAGGTTTCAAATGTAGAAACCCAAGGAATCTTGTCTCAGTCAACTCAGGCACCGTAACAAAAAACCCACGGACGTTTATTTCTCACAGTCCTGTCCACGATCGAGCTTCCAATGAGGCTGGGCTTCTGGCGAGAGCTCTCCCCCAGGCTCTCCTCACCCCAGGGTATGTTTAGAGAGAGAGAGAAACAATTAGCTGCCTCCCTTACATGCCCCGACCAGGGATCAAACCTGAAACCTTTTGGTGTGTACAGGCCGATGCTCTAACCACCAAGCCATGCGGGCCAGGGCTGAGGCGCCTCTGTTCCTAACAACAGCTCCATTGAGGTGTAATCACACCTACAACTCGCCCTTTGAAGTGTACAGCCAGTGTCCTGGGTGCGCTCACAGAGGCCCACGGCCGCCACCCACCCTGGGAACCCGCCATCACCCAGGAACAACCCTGCTCTTACTGTGACCCGTCACCGTCCCTGCAGCCCCGGCCCCTGGCACCCGCTGATCGCTGTCCAGTCTCCACGGGCGCCCCTGTTCTCACACACGGTGTCCCCGTGATGTGGCCTCTTGTGCCCGGGATCCCTCACGCAGCAGGCGTTCCCGGGGCTCACCCACAAGGCAGGGCGTCCTGCCGGGGGTGCGTGCATGGCTGGGTGGGCATCTGGGCTTCTGGGAGCGTGGGCCCCCCTCTCTTGGGCAGATCCTGAATCGTGGGGTGACTCCGGGTCTGATCATGGGGAGCCCTGGACTGTTCTGCACAGCAGCCTCCCCCAGCGTCGCTGCCCGGTGGTCACAGGGTCTGAATTCCCAGCTCCGGCCGTCTGGCCGTCCAGCATCAGACGAGAAGCCCTCGGGCACCTGTGCGGCAGGTGGCGGGTCGCCCCTGCTCCCTGGTCCCATCGCACCCATGGGTGGGCTCTGGGCCCCCTCCCTGCGCTCCCGCCTGCACCCAGCGGGACCTGCGGGTGGGCACTGAGGCCCGGCTGCGGACGGTGTCACTGTCAGGACGGCGTGCCCGGCTGTGCCACCCAGCGGCTCGCGAGCCCGGCTCCCACGCGCCCGCCG